TTATTTTTAATCATAGATAATTGTTCGAGTAATTCTTTCTTCTTTTTTTATTTGTACACGTTATACGATCGTCATTGCATTAAAAAATTTCGTATCGGTGCAAGATGATAATGATAAAATAAGTATATTATTGATAAAATAAATGATTTTGTATTTTTATATATTCTCAAACGCAAAATACAATAATAATAATAATCAAATATAAATAATACAAAATATATTAAACTTTTTTACCAATCAAATTTTAAACGTTACAACTATTAGTTAGCAAAGGGGATCATTTGAAAAATAATAAAACAATTTAATTGATAATTGTGTTAGGAGAAATAAAAAAGAAAAAAAATAATGGATGGGATACTTACTTTACCCTTGTAAGGATACATATCCTGGCGCATAATTCCTTTAGATTTCTCAAGATATCTCAGGGTATTCCTAAGGGAACCCCCGTTACAACCAATATTCCCAGTGATCGTACTGCAATCAACCAATTGCTGTTCGCTCAATGGTATTAGCATGCCAGTCTGCTTAAATAATTGGCCCTCTATCGTGCCAGCTATTGAATATGCATAACAGCTTCCACATTTCATTTGATTCACTGGCTTCGTCACAAAGCCACGTTCTCGCCAATCCAAGTGAGATGGTACGAGTTTTGGATCATTATAGGCTGATGAGACCAACTCGTCATCGGACACACGTCGTCTTCTACTTGGTCTTAATCTTACCTACAATTTTATTTAAAAAAGAAAAGAAAAACCAACTAAAAAAAGATTTAAACTCGTTGACAAACATACACACACATTCTCATTTTTTTCTTTTATTTCAAAGTACTGTAAGATTATTTGATTATTAGATATAGATCATATATTTATAAAAAAATATTGTTATATAATTTAAATAACTATTATTAAATATTTCAATACAATTACTTTTATTTATTATTGTAACATAACGATATAAATATAAAATAATGTTGTGACAGGATTCTAATTAATTCAAATATTTATATCAGAGTACTTTTTAATCTCACATATAGTATTTTAAAATATTCTTATTTAAATAAAATATCTACATGTATATGTATGTATATAAATATTTATGCAAAGACAAACTAAATCGTAAGATTCAAGAAAGTCTTAAGAACGTTATCGCGTAATCGAAGATCTACATACATTTAAAGAATATAAGTTATGTATATGTATTTTATATATATATATATATGTGTAAATATCGTTCGATCGATAGATCGTCTTAACGTTCGTTCTCATCTCTATGTTTCCATTATCACGAATGTGAGAAAGGTGTAATAACACGAAGCACGAAATTTATGGATGCTTCCTAAATAAGCTATCTCGGTTTAGTTCTTTACTCTATGAATAATTTATAGAGACTGTTGTACATGATAACAAGCAGTACACGATCATGCCAAGTTTTATAATATTAATGACGACGATATATCCAATATGACTCTTCAATACTATATATATATATATATATATATATAAAATCTACAATATAAATATGTATATATAAGTATATATAAAATATTAATAATATTTATTCATATAAATATATTCTCACATAAATTAATAATAAATAAATTTTCATAAAAATTATAGATGGTGTTCTCTTGAAATTGGTTGTACAAGTAATCAGAGAACACTGGGGGTTGATTCTATATTCGAAAAATTAAATAAAGAATATATGATACAAGTTTGTTTTTTTTTTTAATTATGTGTATAGAAACTTTGTATTCGAGAAAAAAAATATATATATTATATTATCAAAAAGATAATTTGTCTAATACGGTGTAACATTTGTTTATCTATGATAGGTTTAAAAATTCTTACCAACCATTTCTCGTACATACTGTTGAGTGCTTAGATCTGCGATATGGTTGTCTCGTAACGTGTAACCGTGGTGTCCCGCTGCAGCCATTAAATTGTGTTCGTAAATCTTCACGAGATTTTCTTCCCACTTGATTCGTCTCGTGTTCTCGAGATTTCCGCTGTATGTCTTGTTGAAGTGTGCCTGTTTTGTCAGGATTAACGATAGACCATTAATATTTGTCAATAAGAGAGATACAACTTTTCTTATTTCGTATTTGTTCTTTACAATTTTTATTTTACGACTTACGATTAATATTTAATTAATTAGTCGTACATATATTAGGATTTTTTCTTTTCTTCGTGTTTTACAATTTATTTTTTATATTCTTTTTTTTTTCTTTTGTTTTGAAATTTTGATTTAAGTTACTTTAAAAAGATTCGTTACCTTGTAAGCTCGCCAATAATCGTCGAGTTTGCTTGAAATCTTTGATGGTAATTGTTTGTTTTTATTAAATAATTGGTATCCTCTTACTTTTAATAGAATTAATAAGAAAAACGAAAAATATAAAATCCATCGTAAACGAATCATCGTTGTAATGTTGAATAAAACGAACTGAATTCGTAACTGTTACTTCGATTTTATTTTTCAATATGTTATTTTAATGTCGCGTATCAAAAATTTGATGTTTCAGCACGAATTATTTAATTACGCCATCGAATCGTTCGTAATTTATTAAACATTTACATATATACGTATACAAATATACGTATATATGAAAATTTTAGTAAATATTACAAAATTTGCAGTATATTTCATTAATTGTATTCATATTAATTTGTGATTCGCGTTATGTAATTTTATAATTTACAAAAAAAAAAGAAATTCTCTTTGGTATTAATTTTATACATAATTAAATTCATTACAATCTAATATCTTATATATATATAATATATATTGCATTATATTATACAAATTTTAATATTACAAAAAGTTAAGAAAAAAAAAAAAAAATAGTATTTATAAAGATGCGTTGCAGTATTGTTTTTTAGTTTGTCAGACACGTTGGCAAGATGATGAAGATAAGAGAAAAAAGAAAGAAAAGAAACTAAATTGAAAGAGAAACATTGCACGATCTTTTTAGCATCCAGAAGTGCATCATTTTTTTTTTTTCCGAGAAATAATCTACGTTTCTTTTCGTTAGTTTCAATATTTTACTTGCGTGTTACCAACAAGTCATGTATGATATACATATACAAATTTTATATACAAGGTGTTCCAATTTTATCCACAAAATTTTACCATTGTATTTAATGAGTCCAAATATAATTCATTTGCTTTTGATAAATTTGTTTCTTTTAATGTTTCTTACAAATAAAAATCCATCGATGAAACACCGATCCGTTTTCATTTTTTCATATTTTTTCAATTAAACATTTATAAGAGTCTACATTTGTATAAGATATTTTGTTTATTCTTACCTATAGTAGAATATGGTGGTAAAATTTTGTGGAAAAAAATTGGGACACCTTGTATATATTTATATACCAATGTGAAACGAGTAAGGTAAGAACGAGTTGTCTCTTTTCGTAAGCACGTAGTCGTTAGCGATACAATTTTCATGTTCCATCGATCGTGTCATGAATTTATATTTTAACTTTTTTCCTTTTCTTCGTATCTTTTTTATTTGTTTTCATTTTTGTCCAACATCGATTAATACCAGAAAAGACGTCAGTTTAAATAAAAGCATCGGTTTTTACGCTTGTTGCATTCATTATCGTTATCTGGCAGGTTGGTACGATAAGGATTTTTTGATCGAGATATATTCGAATGTTTTCACCAAATTTCAATGTTCGTTTCAATTTTCTTATTTTTTTAATTGCATCCAAAGTTATATGCACAATATCGTTTGACATATTATTTTTCATTATTTTCATATTTTTGTATATTGTTTAAAATCGATAATCACAATGAAAGTGAAGATAATGATGTGATAAATTTAACAAGATAGTTTTATTTATTGAGAAATATTATAATTTAGATATATGTATTTTTGTGAAGAAGAGGACATAATACAAATCATTTTTTTATATAATATTTATTTAAAACATACTCTATTATTTACACATTTATTTTAAACCGTGTATTTCACAGATGAACAAATTATTTATAATTATATTATTTTTTAATAATGCATTATATATATTGAAATTTTCGAATAATTTCTATTTACAAAAATTGGGAACAGTTTTGCAATGAGAGTGAGAGAGAAGGAATGAGTGTAGTACGTCAAATGCCAGTAGATGGCAATAGTTACGGCGACCGCAGTCAAAATAGTGTCTGCACATGCGCGTTATTAATCCGCGATACGCGTAGTAATTATAGAGACAGTGTGCACCGACCGAGCAACATAATTCTTATAATTAATAATATACAAACATAATTCTCTCTTCCTCTATATACTTCGAGAAAGGTTTAATTCGAATTTAATTTATTATATTTCATATCCTTTCAAATCCTTTTCTATATATGTTCTATTATTCAGTTTGTATTGTTTCTTTTCTCTCTCTCTTTTTATGAATGCATTTTAATTTGATTTCAATTTGAGTCTATTGCTTTATTATTTCTCTCTTCAAGTTTGATTATCAATAATTTAATAAATTTTTAAATAATATTTTCGACAATTAAGTAAGTTTTAAATGATAATTATAGATTTGTTAACTATTTTTAAATGTAATATTCATAAGAAGATTAGTAAACTGTTTCCCTATCTCTCTCTCTCTCTCTCTCTCTTTCAAAAACGATTAAAATTTGTAAACGATATACAATATTTCAAATACAAATGATTATCATTTGTATTTAATAACGAAATATAAATACATAATTCATATTACATTTATATATTTCCCTTTCAAATAATAACAATAAAAATATTACTCACAAATGTGTATTGTAATAAAATTTCCTAATCATTTCTAGTTAACATTTAATCCTCAATGGTATACTCCATTGCATCTTCACTAGTTACTCTTATCCCGAGTATAATAAAATGCAAGATTTATTCATCTCTGTCTCTATTTTATTTTTTCATTCTATTCCCCTCTTTCTCTCTCTCTTTGTAAACGCATATACATACATGCGCGGTGTATATATCGTGCGCGCGCGCGAACTGCTATCGGTTACCCCCACTCCTTGTAATTGGTTAGTTCCCCCACTCTCTATCTTTCTTTCTCTCTCTTTCTCGTACCACCATTGGACGTATAGTCGGTGTCGTGTCGTCAGCAGCGACTTGCGCGTGCGAGTGGCGAACTGCGCTTCGCATCGCACTGCGCGCTAGCAGCGCGCACACGCGCGCGCTCAGTGATCGCGATTCGCGACATCCCGCGGGACTGGGAGTCTGCAGTGTCACAGTTGCACCCGATTTTTTTTCCCTTCCTCTCTCTCTCTCTCTCTGTCATTTTTCTTTTTTTTATACTTATTCGAACAATATTTGTTTTTGTTTTCCCCTCAACGCCCCCTCCCCTCCCGCGCTCCCGCCTTTGTCCACCGTTTTTACCCCACTTCGCTCCCAGTCCGGTCCTACGCGTTTGTTTTAATTCCCGCGTCGTGTATTATATTTGCGTATTTTATTTTGTTACATTGCATTATACCTCTTAATAATCTTCCTTTAGATTATTTTACGATACCACTTTGTTGATAGATATATATTATTTAAATTCACGATTGGTGTACGAAATAGTATCGGCGCCATGTTGATTTGTGCGACAGAGAAGATCAACATACGAAATTATTAATAAGAGAAGGAGAGAGAGTGAGAGAGAGAGAGAGGGGGGAACGAGATGGTAGAGAGAAAGTAATGAAGATGAAGAGGAGAGAGATGGGACGATAGTTTTCGAAAGGAGGAAACGTTTCTTTACAGCAAGAAAGAGAAACATATATATATATATATACGTCGAGAGTATAACCTTGTGTACGAAGAAAAAGAAAGTCTCTTTGAGAAAACGAGCTGTAAAGTGAAAAACAAAACAAAAATAACATAACCAGAAGAGAAGAGAGTTGTTACGTTCTTTTATTTCTCTTTGATTTTATTTTCCCTCCATCTTGGATCTTGTTAGAATGGATGAATCTGGTATCGATATGGGATTCGATCTCGCTGCTCTTAACGATATCGATACTAACGATCAACACGGATTTGGTGATGACGACTTCGAACAAGCATTATCACTTCTATCAACTACTACGAAAGATTTTATGTATTACGAGTTGAAGAGTCGTGCTCCTGACACCGGCAGGTATGTTACTGACCAATTCAACTTTTACACGTTTCGAACATAACCGCGCATCTTACTTCTCACCGTTCGATCTTTGCGCATGCGCGTGCAATTAACCTCTATTGCATACGTTATATTCTTTTTCGTTATTTATTTTTAGTTATTTATATTTATTTAATTAATTATTTATTTCTTTATTTTAGATTAAGCCTTTTTTTGTCTCTATCTTTTTTCTCTCTTTTAAACTTTTTTCTTGTTTTCTACAGTTATATTTAAATCGAATTAATCATTTGTCTTTTAGCAAGTCTTTTTATTTTCAGATTAAATTTGTTTTCCTTTACACGTGTCTTTTATCTTTGTTGCGAGAGATTGTTATAAGCTTTTGAGATAAATGATGATATTTGTTTCGTATTGATTTTAAATATTATTGAGAGATTCGAAGATTATTATTATTATTACATTGTGTTTTTTTTTCTCTTTTTAATATAAATATAAAAACTTAGTATGGATTTAAAAATCAATAATATTAAATAAAATTATAAGTCCAAGTAAAGTTCCGATAAAAATTTTATTCATTTTCAAAATCACATTTCGAAATTTTGTACACCATTTAGAAACTTTTGGCCTATATTGAAATAATCTTTCTAAAAATATAAACAAAATAAATGTGAACTTTCCAAAAATTTTCCATTTATTAATATTCAACATGTTTGTGTGTCTATACTAATAAACAACATGTTTGTGTATATTCTTAATGCATAGTAAAAAAAAATGTTGTACAATTTGTTACAAGAAGTAATTTACCAAGATAGAATGTTCCTTCTTTCTTTTATATTTTTTAACCAAACGATTAACCCAAATGACAGAACAAAACGAGCGTAGAATCTTTAATAAGAATAAGTCGAACGTAATTACTTAGTAACGTCGAATGATCAACGTTATATACATAATTATAATTGAACCAATATATGCATGAGATCGTTAATAATAATCAACGTAATGAATTATGAAATACAACACGAACAAAGATACAAAATTGTCACTCACTGGTGTACAGTGATCAATTGAAAAGAAAGACGAGTTATTATCATGATCGATCATAAACGAATGAAACACTTGTGTTCATTAATTGAACACAATACAAAAAAATACAAAATATTTTATATATTTTAAATATACGTAGATAGGTTGACAATTTTTAAAGTTTCAACGACAAATCAATTTTCAAATTAAAAAGTAAGTTGAATCGAAAAAAAAACTTGTTTATGTGTTATGTTCAAAATTTTTCAACCCACTCACATATTCGTTCAATATATCAGGAGAGTTGTGTGTTAATCGATAATAATGAAGTTTATATATATAACTATAGTACTAATAGTTTTCTCTTATGGATCTTTGCCAAGTTTAAATACGACTGAAATTTCGTAGTTCCCATGTACGTATATATATATGCGTCACACATATATATATATATATATATATATATATATATATATACGTGTACAAGGTGAGGGCCAAAAATTCCTAGGTGAGCCAAATGTTCTTAAGTGATTTAAAAATCAATTACTTCTTTTTTTTTCTCAAATCTTTCATACTAATTTATTTATTTCTTTTCTTTTCTAACTTTAAAGCAAAGAAAACATATTAGAAAGATTTACAGAGTTAGTTTGTTATTAAACATATTATAACGTTCGTTTACGTATTAAAATTTGTATGATTTTCTTTAAAATTAAATTGAAGGATTTTAATTTAATTCGATGAACACACATATATAGAAATGATTCGTTTGAAAAGGCAATTTATTGAAACGGGTACACCCTGTATATGTGTATTCAATTTGGCGCATACACAGTCCGGTATTATTCTTCATAAAAAATTGACGAATTCGTCGAGCACATTCCCTTTTTTATTTTTATTTTTTTTTATTTTTTTTTTATTTCTTTTTCTTTTCGTTTACACGGGTTATCGAACGATAGCGCATTCCGAAAAAATTCCACTCGCTTTTTCTTGTTCTTTTTTTCTTTTTCTCCTACATCTTTGTCGATGAATTTCCCTTCGATTTTTATTTTCGAAGTCACGCTTTTTCGATACGGAAAAATCCCGTATGAAAAAATGTATATTCTTCCAAATTTGAAATCTTGTTTTATTAGATTCTTCCATTTTTGTTTATACGATTGATTGTATATTGCAAAATGATTTTATATGATTATAAATATTGATAAATATATGAGAATGTAAAAATTATATAAAAATTTTCTAAAAAATCTCTCACGTGTGTGTGTACAATTGTATTATAGAAATATGAGCGAATTTTTTGTTTTTTCCAGCAAGAAAATCATCTATTTCTTTTATGTATGTCAAAACCGTGTTGAGGAATGTCGTTCATTTAACGACAGGCGTGCAATGCTTTTTGTGACAGTTCACAAAACGTGTTGAGTCATGCTTCGAAAGCGTTAAGAAGAGAAGACGCGTATCCGTGGTATTTATAGTTTTCTATTTTCAGCTCATTATCCGGAATCAGGGTTGTCTAATTTAACACGGTACTTTACCTATCAATCTTCGATGAATAAAAAAAAAAAAACGCACATTATTATATCTTTTTTTTTTTTTTATTTAAAATTATTTCTAAAACAAAAATCTATATTAAAAAAAAAAAAATAGAACGAATGAATAACTTTTTTCTGTTTTTTTTTTCTTTCTTTTTTTTTTTTTTTTTTTTAATATTACAAGAGAACTTATGTTAGTTATTTCCCAATCAGTAATTTAAATACGCGAAGAAGAAACATTTTTATTCGTGCCAATATTAATCTAATGATTATTGTATCTAACTTTTATGACTTTCGTAATTTTTTTTTCATATTCATCAGTGCAACGCTTTTATATATATATATATATACTTACGTAAATACTTGTAAGAAGTAAAAGTACTTTTTCAATTAATCATTTATTATGAATTTGCAAAGATATAAAATATACTTAAGAATATATTTCATATTCTTCGAATCATAGTAATAATAATTTTTTTCGTAAGAATTCATAACAACGCATCAAGAGATCAAAAGATAGTTAACGTAACCCGAACACGTTGCTAAGTTGTCTAGTTGAGTGTAAATTATTGCTCATGAGATCATCGTAGCAGTCGTGATTACGAATCTTTGGTAGGAAAACATACAACGTCTGCTACGATAAATAGAAATTCGTTTCAATTGGTTATCTACTGGTCATATACTGAATGCACACGAATGCAATCGATGAATCACACCTTTTCTTTTTTATTGACAATAAATACACGCGTATATAACACGTATTTATATATACACGCTAATATTATATATATATATACATACAACAAAAAACTAGTACACGTAACACGCACAGATATATATATATATAATTCTTGAATAAGTATTATAATCATTGTTTTTCTCGTTGTAAGTTCATTAATTTACGTCTACACAAACTTACCGTTCGAATTCAAAGAAAAAAAAAAAAAAAAAAGGAAAAATAATTGCAGAAAGATAGACAAAATATATATATAAAACAAAGTTAAGTTCGTAGAATATTTTAACGAGGAAAAACCGTAATAGTATATTACATCCATGAAATTCTAAGGAAGAAAGTACTTTGATGAAGAAAAAAAAAAAATATCTACCACCAACCTTCCCAAAAAATAAAACAAAAAAAAAAAACACAGAGCGAGAGAGAGAGAGAAAACTAAAAAAAAAGAAAAAGAAAAGGATAAATAAAAAGTAGATAGTTGGTAAAAAAAGATAGCCGTGATTACGTTTAGCTCTTACTTATATTTTTCTTTTTTTTTCTTACAGTGAAATTATCCTTTAAGCATTTTACACACTCCAAGAGTGAGAAAGTTGACTCTCTGCGGCTAGCAGTTTGGTGTAGAGCTTTTTTTTTCAAGGATAATCCCTTTGGATTGGGAAAGAACGAGAAAGGAGTCTCCTAATCTCTCTTACACCATTCCACACCCCTTACTTTTTATCTTTTACTTTTTCCGCGCTATATTTTTACTTTTCTTTTTTTTTCGTCCATCTTTTTCACAGACCAACCAACCAACCAACTACTACTACTACTACTACTACTATTACTAACAGTAGTGATAGTACCAATACTATTACAGGTATTACTATTGCTCGTTATTCCTCTTTGCGGTTATCCACAAATTCCAACTAGCGTGTTGGCAATGTAGCATCGTGTATCTTTTTCTATTTCTCGTTAGTTCACTCTCTCTCTCTCTCTTTCTCTCTTTCTTTCACATTCGTTTTCCGCGTTTCTCTCTTTGGTTGTATTTCTGTCTCTCTTGTACTTTTTGCGGTAGTAGCGTATTTCTCGTTTCGATAAAAGCTTGTAGTGGTGGTGGTGGTGGTGGTGGTGTTGGTTTTGGTGGTGGTGTGTAACACCGAAGTTCGTAATTGTCGGCTTTTGTCGGCATACGATGATATCACGAAAAAATAGGCATCACACCACTGTCTCTGCGATTCTTTACTTTCAGGTATTCCAGAACGTTTCTCTCGGTTTTTTGCCTGATTGCTGCTACCCGTAGTTGGGATACTACTGTGCGTTTGAACAAAAAAAAAGAAAGAACAAAAAAATAATCCGTACACAGCCCCACCTCCCCCCACCTTCAACCAAACAAAAAGGAAAAGGGGAGACAAAAAATTAAAAAAGAAATAGAAAGAGAAAGAAAGAGAGAGAGAGAGAGAGAGAGAGAGATGAATAGAGATTGTGAATTGTTTGTTGCAACTTTGTTGTAACTGGTTCGTATTTGGGATCGGGGGAGGGGAGAGGGGGGTGGTGGTACACACAGGTTGATATGAATATTGCGAAGCTTTACTGTTATGTTATCTCTATTTCAATTGTTCCTTTTTCTTTTTCTTTTCGTATTTTGTGAACGATGTCGCTTTCATTCGCGGGAAGATATTTTTTTTAATTATTAATTAATTAAAAATAGTTAGAGGTTGTGTGTGTATTTTTGTTTGTTTTGGTTTTTATTCTCTTAGAGAGGA